CCAGCCCTGCCCCGGCGAGCGGCGAGCGGGAACCGGGCAGGAGGAGCGGAGCTGGGTGGCGGCGCTGCAGCTTTTTGCCGAGGTTCGGCCGCCTAGGTAAAGGGCCGCGGCCACCTGGCCGAGGAGGAGAGGCTGCGCTAGCTTTATTGCTTGCTATCCCGGGTCGGGCGGGCGGGCGGGCGGCGGCCGGGCGCCTCTCCGCGCGCGGGGAGCGTGGCCCGGCTCGGCGCGCGCCGCTGGCGCCCTCTGCTCGTGGGGCGGGAAGCGGGTCGGAGTCGGCGAGGGGGAAGCAAGCCGAGGCGGCGGCCGCTGCGGCTTGCCCCTCACAAGGCATCTCTTTCTTTTCCAGGCTTGGACCTCGGACCCTCTCTGAGGGGAGCCGCTGCGCCCGGGAGGGGATCTCGCCGAGTGACCGAACCCCAGAAGTTGCCGCCTTCTGAAGGAAGGGTGTAGGGGGGGGGGAGAGGAAGGAATACAGAGGTGGCGGCTACTCCCGGACGGGGGACAGAAAGGATGCTCGAGTGATTGACGGCTCGGTGTCCCGGCAGCCGAGCTGGATTGACCGCGCTTGGCGGGAAGGGGAAGAAGAGCCACCGAGGCGGCGACATGGGGGCCTCGCCAAGGGCATGGTGGTGTTGGCGGCGGCGGCAGCAGCGGCTTCAGGGCTCGCCCCAGGCGACGGCGACCGGCTTCTGGAGCTTGTGTTGGCTGATGCTGCTGGGCGCCTGGCGGGGGCTGCTCGCCTCCGCTTGCCCCACCTCGTGCGCCTGCAGTCCCGAGCGGATCTGGTGCAGCGAAGCCGCGGCGAGCCTCGTGTCCTTCCCCGTGCTCGGCAAGAGGAGCGAGCGGGAGAAAGTCAGCGACATGTGAGTGCCCGAGCGGCGCTGGGGGGTTGTTGGGGACCGGGGAGGACGGGAGGGAAAAGTAACGAGGGGGCGAGCGGGGATCGATCGGATGGTTGGGTTTGGGGTTTGCTTTTAGTAGCGTCGCGTTCAATATAAGCGAGATTTTATTCCCGCTTATTTGTAAGAATGTCCTGTTTGTTGGTTTAAACAAGGCTCAGACGTGTGTGTGTGTGTGTGTGTGTGTGTGTGTGTGTGTGTGTGTTGCACATACAGGCAATGTAATTACTGCTTAGTAATTACTGCTTATATATATATATTATTATTTTATTATTATTATTGTTTATATTTATATCCCGCCCTTCTCCTTGCGGACTCAGGGCGGCTAACAACCAGATAAAAATGCAAATCCCAAAACTACAGATTAAAACATAATTAAAAACAAATATTAATAAGTGGCCTAATTAATTTAAAATTACTTTAAAACCCCCATTAAAAATTTTCCCCTATAGCACATCTATATATGCTAAGCAGTAATTAAATTGGCTGCGTGTGCAATTTGATTTGCTCAGATCTACATCTTGCACTGTACATCTTGGGTGTTTAACAAATACACATCTGTGTGCTCCTTGGAGAAAGCACTACCTTCCTTAGGGAGTGCATAAAATGAGGACTAAGATGAAGCATGCCTCTTCTTTTTTATGTCTCCCACTGTGGTGCTGGATGCGTCGATATACGGTTTATGGATATTTGAAGGTACCCCCAGGAAAGGCAGTGATCGTGCATGTGTTGCTTGGCAGTCCACTGTCGAAAAATAAATAAATAAATATGCAGAGAATCTTCTGAAACGCTTTTAACTGGAGACTTGCTTTTAACCACCACAATCCATTTGCTATTCCTTCACAAAGTCTTTCGGTTATTACTCAAACATTTTCAATCTGCTTTGTTGAACTGGGCAAAATACGGTAGCTTCCTAGCAGTAGTCAAATAGATTTTTATTATAGGGATTCTGCTTAAGAATATGCTTGTCGCTGTTTTGGAAAGAATGTGTAAGAGGAGATGTTCTCTGTATAGCAATGCACTTGCTCCAAAGGCTACTAGCTGAACGACTAAAAGCCTGGATTGATCTAATTTAGATTTGACTTTGCCTCAGATACAGTTTTAAAAGCATTTAGCTTATGAATCTTAATTGCCCTGAGTCCAATTTCCTGGGAATCATCTAAATGATAAAGCAATAGAGCAAATAGATTGTGTTCGTTTTGGTTGAACATTTATTAGTATTGTATTGCTTCTTGTCAGTTTTTTTTTTACTATGGAGAAGCTTGCTAACTTCCACATTCCTGTTATTCCTCTTTTACAAGAAATGTTACATTATGTAAATAAAGGAAAACAAGGCAAGTAAAGTTGAATAAGCTGGTTGTTTGTGATAGTGCTAGTAAAAGCTGTGTGGTTTGTTTATATTCTTTTGTGTATAAACAGGGAAGATAGTGGGATTTATTCCCTCCTTACACGTATTCAGCTTTTATGTTTAGTGTAACAGTAGTCTTCGCTTGTTTAATATGCATGGGTTTGTTTGCTGTAGAATATGTTCTTGTGTGTAAGAGCTGGATCTGTTTGCAAATAAAGATATGCTTCCCTGTCATTCCTCTAGGATAGATTTTATTGTGTGTTCAAATACAGGGCTACTGCTTTTGGAGGCTGTGCAACGTAACAAGCAGGTGGATCCTTCTCTCTGCACATGAGGTGTATATGGAGAGATTGAAGCCCAGTGGAAGATCACACTGCCTGGTCTATACTGAAGCTGTGAGATGACTATCATCAATACAATCAGCTGACATTCATGAGAATGTTCATCTCTATATCCATACATTTGAAAGAGGGAGACAGAAATATTTTGTTCTTCTTCTCATTGGGTTCAGTTCCCCTTCTGGTATAATGGTCAGATTATATTCCTAATCTGCAGTTCATGCATACCTGCCAATAATGGCATGTGAGCATCTGCAGCAGAGAATTGATGGTGCAGTGGGGTGGTGTCAGGGTGGTAATTTGAAAAGGCAAGAGGAAGGGATCAAGTTAATATTGCTTGAGAAACCCTGGATTAAACTACTGTATGATTGTTTTAGCAATATGCCCCAAATTTACTTTTAGTTAAAAGTAAATCTTTTAACTAAGAGTAAATGTTTTAACTAAACCAAATGAGTCTATTTGAGATGCTAATGTGCAGCCAGTGGGACTGTTTTAATTGCTATTAAGTTTCTGTCATGGCAATTAACTTCTGCTTGAACTCAGGCCTTGTTCTTTATGAAACAGAAGTGGAGGTTGGTTGACTAATCATCTCATGCATATAGACTTCTGTGTATGCAGAAAATATGTTGTTCTCTCACCTGCCTTGGTAGTGTATTGCAAATTTTTTAGCATACAGTATTATAGCAATTATTTTTGCTCTGTACTTTAACTGTTTATCATTATGCTTTTAAAAAAAGCTATTGCAGATAAGATAATAATCTTTGAGAAATCACTATTCAGGATTGCTTTTTGTGATAAAAGGAATCCTGAAGAAGATATCCTGTACCAGTTCCTGTACATGGCAGAAAGAATGTGAATTGTTTCCTTGGACAGCACTTAAAGGCCTTTATATTTTTGCTCTTTGCTTTACATTAAAATGTGTGCATGTTTCAAGCAGTTATTGAAATTGCTAGTTTTAATGCTTATTTGTTGATTATCAAGATACATAACATTGATTTTATACATTCTTTTACAGATCCCAACCAATCACTGGGATCAATTAAAATGTTCTTCATTACATTTATAAATTTGTAACAATACACTTAATATTATCTCTATTTAATCATTTAATTTGGATTCATCTCTAGATTAAAAATTGGTTTTTATTCTGTTACAAACTTTGGCAATTGTTCTGATACAAAGATTACAGATTTCCCAAGAGCAGTTATTGTATATTAATATTTTACTCTATAAGATATGAAGCAGTGAAATTGGCCTTGACTTTAAAAGATGTTCATAAAAGATGAAAAGGCAAGGTTGTTCATTAATACTCAATGATAATTAAACATTTAGCTGCTTTAATAGTTTAACAATATCCGCATGGCAACTACAACTTAATTAAAATGCCATTGTACTGCTTTGGAAACTAAACAAAGTAAGCTAGCACTGTAGAATATTACTTCAGAGCTCAAAGCATCACAGGAATAATAACTACTTTTTTCTGCTCAATTGTATTGCCACTCATAATAGTTCCATTAGGGAGTTTCTTATACCTTTTGTATGAAAAATGTTTTTGGTTACTGATGTTTTCTCTAAACAATGTTTGGAACGGATGTGTTTTTGTCAGATTTTATGATAAAGACAAATTTAGGGTTCATGACAATTTTTATAGGATTTAGGGGAATTCAAGGCCTTGTTATTAGAACCAGGGGGAAAAAATCATAGTGCTTTTGAAGCAGGTGCATTTCAGCTTTTTTCAACCCGGAGCTCTTGAGATGTAATGAATTGGTAAAAGCCATGATGCATTGGCTTTATGAAAGTTTAACAAATATAGAGGTGCTTGATATACTGTATCTGGTAAGCCCATATTGAGATAGGTACTGTAAATGAAAACAAGTGTTTTTCATAGAGTGCTTCTTATGGTATAATAAGAAAAGGAAAAGGCAAAAGGTATGGGTGGAGTAGATATCTACAGGTGAGTGAGAAAGGATGATGTTTTTAAACCAACAAAATAATTGTTGAGAGATAAAATTGCAAAGGCCCAGATTTTATTTGGGGCAAAAATGTTATTGTGTTTTAAATATCAGAAGTTCAGATAAATTACCCCCCCCCCCCCAATACATCTTATCCAGAACTTTTTTTTTAATATATTTTATTGATTTTTTAACATAGTCACCTTAATATTTGGTAAACAGCGTGTTGTCTGGGTTTTCATTTAAAAACAATCAATAACAATTTCTATAGTTCCATAATCCACATAGTAGCTTTCTTTGATTTTCTCTTCTTCCAATAATATTCTCTTTTACCAAGCTTGAATTAATACATATCTTAGTATTTTGATATATAACAATTGAATATAAACATTTTTCTAGTATTTAGCAACTACATCAATATAAAGCTTCTTTTCTAATTAATCATCTTAATCATCATAGATCCTATTTTCAAAGTTCTTATTTAGATTTGCTTCCCTCCCCCCCGCAATGTTCAAAACATTCTTACCAGTTAAGATTTTCTCAGAGTTAATTACTTAAGTATTTAAGTCTTTTCCCTCATACAAGCCATCCCAACATTTTTACGTTTCTCATATCTTAAAAGAAAAGAAAAAGAGAAGAAAAAAAAGGAAATAGTATACTGCTTGAGAAACATGTCCCTCTTAAGCTAAGATACATTTATATCCAGAATTAAACAAATATTTACGTAATCTTGAAATATTCCATCTAATAAATCCAATCATCTAATCTTTTGAATCTATTCAGAACATTCCTATCAATTGAGATTTTCTCAAGATCAATTACACTTAAGTATCTAAAACATTTCCCTCATATAAAGTGTCTTATCCAGAACTTATGGAGCGTAAAAGTTTTTGTTTGTTTTGTTTTGAAATTTGGTTGATGGAATCAGGAAGAAGATGGAATTTTTCTCACCAAGCTTTTTTCTCTTTCTTTCTCTCTTAATAGGTTATTCACAGACTTGCTTGTCTGTTTTAATGAATAACATAGTCCTGATCTTACAAACCTATGCTTATAATGAGATTGTGTTTGATCCTGTTCCTTGAGGTCCTGGCACGAGCTTGAAAAGCTTTTGTTACATATATACATACATACATACATACATACATACATACATACATACATACATACATACATACATACATACACATTGGCAATGATTATTGTTCCATAATGGACCATAATCTACTTCTGAAGCAATTGTTGCAGGTTATTGGTCACACAAATATTCCAATCTTTGCAGAAAGGCACTCTGCCATGAACATTAATGGAGGCCTCGCATAACTGTTG